TTTCCTTGTAAGAAGGTGGAGGGGATTCTAATTCTATAGATGTTTTCATCTGTTTCATATAGATTGAGGAATTTTCTTGATGAACCATTACTTGTATAGTGGTGGTTGGACTATGACTCGGGAAGGACTAGATCTTTTATTGGATTGTCATTTCCCCATGATCTGATGGATGGAGATTCAGTTACTGATTGAGGAATTCTCATTCTTGTTGAAAAATTACGTGTTAGGTGGTGTATTTGTTTTGGTTCTAACGCTGTGAAATTGCCATATCCATTTGTGGGTTTATATAAAATGATTTTGCGCGACATTTCTTTGTGGTGCAGGTGAAGGATCTTATGAAGAAGAAAGAAGAACTTCCAGTTTGCAAGGAAGGAGATCTAATCATGGATCAGCTGGTTGAGCTAACTAGTAAAGGTTGTGGATGTCTTCTTGTTATAGATGATGGCTATCATCTGCTAGGTACATTTACGGATGGTGATTTACGGCGTACATTGAAAGCTAGTGGTGAAGGGATCTTCAAGCTTTCAGTCGGAGAAATGTGTAACAGGTCAACTAATATTCCTCTGCTGTCCACCACTTCACGTAAATCTATTAATTGTTCCGATATGCATAAAGTGCCTTGAGGCCAACATTTAAGTAACTTAAGCCAATTGAGTAAATCAACTCTAAAGTAAAGAATTGGTAAAGCCATTATGTGATTATATTTTATCAACTCATAATTTGCATTGCGCTGTATGAAGTTTGCCAGCAGTCATGTTATTCTTCTTTCTTAGTTCATCTTGGATTTCAGTGGCTATGTTCTCAGAAGTATTTTCGGATTTTCAGTCAAGGAAATACGAGACCTATAGTAAACATCCTGTATTATCAGTTTCTGGTTTTATAAAAGCACATATTTCGTAGGATCCACAATTTACTACCCACTTTTTTAAGCACTTATATGACTCGTCTAGTCTTTCAGGAACCCAAGGACAATTGGTCCTGATGCAATGGCAGTCGATGCAATGCAGAAGATGGAGTCTCCACCATCCCCAGTACAGTTTTTGCCTGTAACCAGTGATGATAATGTTTTGATTGGTATCGTTACATTGCATGACTTGGTCTCAGCTGGCTTGTGATTGTTGAAAGTGTGCTATGTTTGTATTGCAATAATTCTTTGTATTCTTTCCCAAAACGGTGTTGGGAGTTGCTATAGATATTCTTTAGATGGTTCTGTATGATGAAGAATATGAATGTATTAACTATGATCTTCCTCCTCAAAATTGCTCGCGTTTGGCTCCATTTAGGTAGAGGGGTCGGGTTTACAATCCCGGCGGATTAGCCCGTTA